TGTGTGGTTACAGGCAAGCATCCGATATGATAGTATGCTAGCTCTTGGTTGGGGACTTCGGAATGCTTAGTTCTGCCCTACTGCTGCAACCACATTACAGAGCCAAATGATAGTATCTCTCTCCTAATGGATTTTACATATACTAGAAAAAATATTATAAACATAATTTTGGAATTCTGTTACAAGAAAGTGATACCTTCATTAACAGGAAGAGGAGGAGACAGGAAAAGCTGAAGGAGAATCTCATTACTGGAATTAGGCCTCACTGCCCATCTAAGTGAATTATCAATTCTATGTGAAGCTGGCCATTAAAGCTGACCTGCATTCCAATGTTAACATAAAGCTAAATGAAACTGCCTCTCTAGTTTCCTTCAGTGCTGGCTACATGTCTGGAGGCCTAGGCACTTGGTCATGTGATTTCTGCTAAAGGGGAAGATTAGCCAAACTTAAAAGAGAAGTAAAACCAAAACCTTTTATTTTACTTTACTTTTCTTTCGGGTCACAAGATTACATTTACTAATATATGCCTGCTATCAGCTGCCTACACTGTCTAGCTGATAGCTGGCTCTGCCACCCTGCTGCGGGCTGAGAACCAGAGGTTGGGTGCCCATCCTATGCATTGTCTGTTTCTCCAGTGAGTGGTGACAGTCACGGCTCTCAACAGGGAGAAGAGAATGAGAGCTCACCAAGCGGCAGTTATATGATTGCTCAGCTCTCAGTGTTAGAGCCGCCATGGGATATGTAGGGTCTGTTCCCTGCCAATATGTTGGGGCTGCACTGGGCTTTTTTTATAGGGCAACCACAAGGCAATACAAGGCAAATTGCCTTGCCACAGATGGGCTCAGTTCACACCACCTTATGGTGGTGGTGTGCGCTGAAAAAAGTATGGCACGTAGTGCAGTGTGACGCTGTACAACCGTATTACACTCTGCTGAGCCCATAGAACCTAATAAAATATCACTTGGGACATTTTGATAAAGTTGTAAGAAACAGTGCGATGTTCTAGGCACATATATACCAGCAGCCCTGCAGTGTAGTTACGCCCACCAGTACTTCTCCTTAAGCCAGCATGGATGTCATTGTCCGCTTACTCAGGAGTAACTATGTGCACAAGCATCTCCCCTCTCCTCCCCCCTATGCCTGTTTCCCCGATAGCAGTTATTTCCGATGGCTAATGATGATGCCGCCAAGGAATAAACAAATATTTTCCTAAAATAGAAGTGATGTAAAAGTTCCCTGTGTGCACTACTGTATAGAGCAGGGGTAGCCAAACTCTGGCCCTCCAGCAGTGGTGGAACTACAAATCCCATGATGCATTACAAGGTTCTCACAGACATGACTCCTGGAGAGAGATGCATCATGGGATTTGTAGTTTCACCACACCTGGAGGGCCGGAGTTTGGCTACCCCTGGTATAGAGGGAAAGGGAAGTCTGGGGAACTCTTCCGGAAATCAGTTTTAACTCCTCAAAGCAAACCATGTGACCAAGGGTCTAGACTTTCATATGTATTGCTGCACTGACGTGAGCATGGGCCTGCATTTTCTTGAGCAAATGTTCCAACCCTGCTTTTACAATGTATTTATCCATCCTCGCAAAAATATAAACACAGCATTTTAGTATAGGTTAACTATAGACTATATGAATCCCAGCCTATTTGGTAAAGCACCATGTTATTCTTAAAGAAGAACTCCAGGAAAACTTTTTCTTAATCCTTGCAGTGGGTCTAGCTACACACTTCAAGGGTTAAGGGTAAAGCGCTAAAATAACAAAGATATACTCACCCAAAGCTCTGAGTTAGCCAGCTGTCACAGTGTTCTCTCTAGCCTGTCTCCTCCTCCACCGCAGAATCCTCCAAGGCTTCCTCATGCCTATACACAGTGTATACAGTAAAACGTAATGATTTACGGCACATTACACCGCTGCAGAGGAGGGGGAGAGAGGCTTCAGGGACCAGTCTAAGAAGAAGCCAGCTCAGAGCTTCAGGTGAATATAACCTTTCTTTTTTTTACCTAGACAAAAACGAGCAGTTAACCCTTGCAGTTCGGCGGTAGCCCAGCTGCAAGGGTTAATACATATTTTTTCATGTAGTTCTTCTTTAAAGCATATCTAAACCCCAAATGCATACATTGCAACATAGCAGCCCTTCAATGTGATGGCTGCATTGGTTTTATTTTTTGAAGCTTTTTTTTTAATTCCGCCAATAACACGATTCTAGTCCTAGCATGACAACTCACAGTTCTGAATCAGGACAAAAGAAACAAGATAGAACCACAGAGCAATGTAACTGATAGTAGTCAGGCAGAGAGCACAGGAAGCGCACAAGATTTCTGGCAAGATCAACAGGTATTTTTTAACGTATGAAATAATTCATTTTCGGGTTTAGATACACTTTAATCTGCCAATAAGTGTCTATCTAATGTGAGGTATGAGCTGGTTTTCTTTAGAATCCTATGTAGACTCTTCTATTGGATTGCATGCATTGCACATCTCCATAAAACATTAGTGCTTGTCTATGTTTCTGTCTCCTATGGAAAGCAAAGATATGATTGCTTTACATTATCCTTGGCTGACACATGAATTAATTAAAATATGGTAAACAAAACAATTTCATATTTGGAAATGTCTTCCAATTTGGGCATCTACATTAAACAGATGATCCTTTTATGCAAATAAAAAATATGGAGTTCTTTTTCCAGGAACTTTTACATTTATTTATTTTACACCTCAGAGATAAGTTATATTAAAGTATAACCTTTGTTGTAGTTACACTTAAATTGAATTCCTCCTGACAGTCTTGTACTCACCTGTCCCCAATCCAGTGGTGAGATACTGCCAGCTGTCCTCTGAGCCATGTCCTAGTATCTGCTCTGGCCTCTGCAGTCATGCACTGATGATGAACAACCTCTTCATAGGAGTTAATAGTGCAAAAAACATGTGCATGCTCAGCTCAGATGATTTTGACAATCAGCAGCCAGCCTAGCCTGGGATAACTCAATGGATCAGTGACATGTGGGTATAAGACTGGCAGAGGGTGCTGGGAGCAGTGAAACCTACAAAATGGCCATTGGTTTACTGAGATCTAGCACCCTCCACTTGCTCCTGACCATATTGCCCATACTTCATGCTCTATATTCAGAAAGAGTTAACTATTTATTTAAAGAAGAACTTCAGGCCGGAATTTTATTACCAGTTGCAGTAGGGCTTCCCCTGCACTGCAAGGGTTAACTGCTCATTTTTGCCTGTTGTAAAAAACAAAAAACAAAATGTTATACTCTCTCTATCCATGGAGCTGGCAGCGCTCCCTTCAGCCTCTCTCCTCCTCGATGGTATGTCCCTTGGCATCCTCCCGTCCTATGCATTTTATTGGACGTGATGACTTGAGAACTCCTAGACTGCAGGTAAGGGGATAGGCACTCCAGGGATTGGTCTAAAGGTGCCCAAACACCTTACAATTATCTACAGATTTTCTGTGGTCAGATGGAAAAAGTTCCACAGATTGGCCCAGGTGGAGATTACTCCATCCACACAGTTAAGATGTAGATGGAGGAATCTGTTGCACCTTTTCCATCTGACCACAGAAAATCTGCAGATAATTGTAAGGTGTATGGCCAGCTTAAAGGTGGCCATACACTCTACAACCATCGCAAGACTTTAGTCTTGCGATGGTTGTAAAGGGATTAAAAAAACGTACGATCTGCCTATCTTGGACAGGCAGATCGCACTCTCGATCATCGCAAGCCCGCCCTCCTGAGGGGCGGGCTTCCGATGACCGCAATGCTGAACGGGCAGTGTGCGCGTGCGCACACCGGCCCGTTCAGCATTTATCTTCCGAGCACCGTTCTAACCAGCCGAGAATCGTACGATTCCCGGCTGGTTTTCGAACATGCTGGTTCGACAGAAGACGTGCGACCGTACAGTAGAAACGGTCGCACGTCTCCGTTCACACTGCTCGATTATCGTACGAAAACCCGATCGCATACGATTATCGTACGATAATCGTGCAGTGTATGGGCACCTTAAGAAGCAGCTGGCTAAGGGGATCAGGTGAGTATAACTTTTTTTTTTTACCCTAGGCAAAGATGAGCAGTTAACCCCTACAGTCTGGCGGTAGCCTCACTGCAAAGGTTAATACAATTTCTGCCTGGGATTCTTCTTTAAAGCTGAACTCCAAGCAGATATATAAAAACAATTATTAATGCAGTTGTGCATTTATTGAAACAATAAAAAAAACATTTTTAAAAGCAACTAGGGACATTATTAGAATTTGACTTGATTTCAGCATCTTGTAGACCCTTGTACAATAGAACTGTGAGACTAGGAGAAGGATGAGCAGCACTGGGAGCCAAATGTGCTGCATGCAAATATACAGACAAGGAACATGCTGACAGGAGGAGTGCATTCTGCTGAGCTAATTAGTATTTAGCTGTTCCTTTAGGGTCCAATTATAGGCAGAGATGTGACCAAGCGGTATTGTTTAACTACACTACAGAAAAATCAGGTCACCAGCTAGTCTGGAGTTCAGCTTTAAGGTAAATGATAAAGTTTAGGTTAGAGATTCATGACAAACTGATACAATTATTATAAATATATACGCTCGGCTAGACACAATTCATATCTTGTAAATATATACATTTCCTGCTCTTTAATTTCAGTTAAATGAATATGAATAAAATAAGACATAAAAACCTGGACTATAATAAATTTAGATGTAGCTCTACCCAGCATAGAAGAACATTTGTCTTCTGCAGGCACCCACACACTACTGCCAGAAATAAGGTTGTTGAGTTCATATTGTTTAAAAAAAAAAGCCTACAATCAACAATTAACAAATAGGTACAACTTCATACATTTAGCCACAATAAGAATGTGACTCACAATACCTCCTGAGCTATGAAACCCTTAACAGCTCATTTGAATACTGCTGGTCTGACAAAATGGCTGCCGTTGTGTCGCCTGGTGAGGGCGGCCCCAAGGCTGGTAGTTCACAATTTGATCTGAAATCTTGCTCTTACCATTGTAATTCCACCAACATGAAACAATGTCATTTATAAACAGAACAATTTGATCACTTCACAGAAGCTGCAATATTGTACAGCTTAATTCCCGTGTTTTAATGGAGCACGATGTTTTTGTTTGTTTTTTTAATTTTATTCTTGTATTGTTTACAGTTCTCAGAAAAGTTTACATAAACTATAATACTTTAATATTTTTGATCCTGCAAAATATATTTATATATTTATTTATATATATATCTATATATTTTTTTAAAATGTATATCCAAAGACTACTTTAACGTACAATACAACACTAATACCACAGGAAAAAGAAACTGTTACACCTATTTTTATTTTACTAATTTGCAGAATCTAACCAAGAACTTAGTATCCTTTGTTCCGACATGCACAATTGGCTCCCTTTTCTTCTCCTGAGGGTTCAGTCCCCATAAATAAAACCCACATGCTCAACACCTCTGTGTGCCGGAGGTATACTGTGGGTACACGCATAAACTGATAAATACTTCCTGCAATGCCCTCTCAAGCTTTGACCACAGTCAAGACGTTACTGTCGTTACTTATATAACAAGTACATAAAATATAAAAAGTGCAAGCAACCAGTGCTTGCAAATCAAAAGGTTTAATCTTTCAGTGCAAACGTAAAGCAAATATTTCGTTATTCAGGTGCAGTTAAAAAAAGGACAACCGGGCTTACCTATTAAGGCAATGCAACGTGCAGTAAGCCATAGCAGCCAATTTCAGTGTACTGAGTCAGATCAGCAAAAGCTGATTTCTGATTGGCTGCCAAGGAAATTGGGCTTTGCACAATAGAAATGTGTTTGGCACTGCTTTAGTGAGTAAGCCAAAATATCTGTCAATTACTGTGTAGCTTGACACCAGCATTAACGCTGGTCTGTAGTCTACTGAAAGTAGACTTCAATAAATGCTCCTTAGAACACACCATACTGATCTGTTTTGCCTATTTGGTAATGTGTGTTTGGCTGGAAGCTAGTTTAAGTTGTGCAACACCAACAAAGAAGCCATACAGAACTAAATGCATGTTAATTCCCACATAGAAACTCCTCCAAGACATAGAATAATGTTAAATAGTTACAAAAATTACTGCTGAGTGCAATACAAATCTACTTCTTCTGGAAGTGTGCATTTAAAAGAGCACATAAGCTTCCTGCACCGACCACTAGAGGCAGTGTTCACACCGCACACAATAAGTAACAGGCAGTATGTAGGCGCCCCCTGCCAGCATAAAAAGATATTGCCACCTTGCAGCCACCATTAGAGTGATGTGTCAAATGACTTTTCTGGAGTTCCTGCTTCTCCTTCCTCTTCATGATCCAGACTTTTATGATTTCCAGAATTGGGGGATTTGCCACTGTCAGGCGTCAAGATTGCAGAGCTATGTTCACCATCCTCACTGAATTTTCCCTTCATTGTTTCTTGAACAAACTCTTGTATTTCCATGGGAAGTCGTTTGAATTTGTCTTGATATTCTTGGTCAAGTTCAACCTGCAACTGGAACACAAACAAAGGACATAAGTGAAAGGTTTTCAGCATGCTGCTGTTTGATTAGAATTATTAGGCTACAGTATGTGTATTAAATACTTAAAGTGACACTTAACTCAGGAGTTAAATCTTAAAAATGCATAAAAGTACCTCAACAAGTAACAAAAATGTATCTTATTTGTACATCACTAGGCTGTAGATTCTCTAATCATCTCTGAATTTCTGGTGGCACTGTCCTACCTACTGGATGATGGCTACTTTTATTCCCCATGGTCCCTGTGTGTTGTAAAGTAGCCATCACTCCAAGCTCACTCCCGTGATAGACTACAATCTCAATACAAATTATTAAAGTAAACATGAGATTGTACTTCATCACTGGAGCAGGCTTGGAGTTGTGGCTACTTTACAAAACACAGGGACCATGGGGAACAAAAGTAGCCACCCTCCAGAAGGAAGGACAGTGTCCGCACCAATTCAGAGATGATTTGAGGATCTACAGCCGAGTGATACACAAATAAGATACATTTTTGTTAATAGTTAAGGTACATGAATGTATTTTTAAGATTTAACTCCTGAGTTTAGTGTCACTTTAAGTTATAATAAAGTTGTTTATTTTTTTCAGAAAAAAAAGCAAAAAAATGTACCCAATCACAAAATAATTGAAACAATCACATGATCACTCCAAATATTGCTATAAGACAAAATGAATTCCTGACATTCCTTTAGCATGCCAGACTGTCCAAAGATTCATCAAGTTCACCAAGGTCAAGCACATTGTTGGTAGGCCTTACTCCATTCTCCATTCAAAAGGTTGCCAGTTGTATCAAGCTCTGTAGACAGGACCGGACTGGCCATTGGGCATACCAGGCACTTACCCGGTGGACTTGGGCCAAACACAATCAGCCTGATTGTGTTCTGCTCGGCTGGCCCGCTATGCCCAATGCAGAACGTCGGGGACTAGCCCCTCTAAAGCTATGGATCAGCCTGCTCCGTGACCGGCTTCATGTTGATCTGCTCTGCCTGCTCTGAGGAGGGAAGTGAGAGGGGTTAATCCACATGAATCGTCCACTCGCAATTTGCATGGTGCAGCGTGCTGGGTGGCTGGGGAGGGGGTGGGGGTGCGTGGGAGGGGGGGGGGGGGGGTCTGTCCATTTGCATTGCTATGGCAGTCTGTATTGCAGGCACTGAGACAGGCAGCTAAGGTCAGACGATGTGCCTGTAGGTCCCCGCTGGTGTGTACGAGTGAGGCGTCGACCAGCCACCTGTCTTCCTGTCTTTATGATTCGCCCATGCAGAGAGTTGCATGCCCAGAGAGAGAACATGTAATTGAAGAAGCACATCCAATCTATGATGTCTATTACACACTGCCTACATGAGAGTCCACACTGACCACCTGAAAGCCCACACTGGCCACTTGTCAGCCTGCACTGGCCAACTGACAGTCCGCACTGGCCAACTGACAGTTCCCACTGACTACCTGAAAGCCCGCTCTGGTCACCTGAGAGCCCCACCGACCACCTGGCAGCCCCCACTGGCCACCTGAGAGCCCCCACTGACCAGCTGAGAGTCTGCACTGACCCCCTGAGAGCCCGCATAGGCCACCTGAGAGCCCCACTGGCCACCTGCCCATACTGGCCACCCAAAATCCCCACTGACCACCTTAAAGCCGCACTGACCGCCGGAGAGCCCACACTGAGTCCACAACTTATAACCCCACTGACCACCTGAGAGACAGTACTGGCCACTTGAGAGTCCACAGTGACCACCTTAAAGCCCCACTGCTCACCTGAGAGCCCTACTGGCCATTTAGGGAGCACTGACCTATACACCGTGCTTGGGGTGCAGAGGATGGCTGGGGATATCACAAGACTTCTCTGTAGTAAGCTTCCTATATTGTTACAGCTTACTGTATTTACTAGTGGCTGGCCCCGCCCCACAATTGTGCTTCTGTGTTTGGCTCTGCCCCTGGAATACGAGGGGCAGGCCTATCAGGGTCATGTGATTAGGCTGCTCAGTGTAAAATGCCCGGGCCTATTATTTGTCCCATTCCGGTCCTGTCTGTAGATGTGTGAGAAAGGCACTGGATTTCCTGTCTACATAAGGAATATTGTTGTCATAGCTGCAAGGTAGATACATTTTCATTTTTTGACAGTTAAAGAAATCCATTACTGTCTGCAGGTCTAATACCAGGCTCTAAGTTTGTAGTGCAGAACTGTTAGAACCTCTTTCAGGTTCTGTCTGTGTCCCTGTGGAAATTTTTATCAGAAAAGACACAATAAAAACGTTATAGAGGTTCAAACACTTCCACTACTCTAATTAAATCTGAAAAAAAGTTTGAGCCGTAGCAGGGCATTTGATTGTATGCCTCTTATGAACTAGAGCAATTATTAAACTTCCGCTATGGATTCAGCAACCATTTTGTAATTATTTTGGAACTCTAGCTAGACATAAAACGACACATTAGTGCAAGCCTGTAATGAATACATTAAATGTATTTTTTAATGCAGGCAGTGTAAGTACCAGAATTTGACCTGGTATCAGTATCTTGTTCTGACATAAAGCATGCTGATAGGAAGAGGAAGCAGAGTCACTGAGCTGCTTCTCCTTTCACTGTTCAGTCACACAATGGGACGGGTCCAGGATAATCTGGGTTTAGAAGAAGTGGGTTGAATGATGCTGGCCATCAGACTGAGGATAACTAGCAGCAGAAAATACATACTGCTGGGGAAATCTCTGGATTAAAGCTGAATATTGCAGCAAAAACTGGTTTTGTTATGTTTTCTTTTAAAGAGTTATTCATTTTAATCCTACTTAATTTTAAGTTCTGCTTTAAGAAAATTAAGTTAAAAAAATATAGCACAACATTTGTTATAGAATAAACAAGGCTTTCCTTGACAATATTGTCTTACAAAAATAACTTAATTTTCTATCCAATCTATAGGAAATATACATAAAATAAAAAAGTGTGTTTTTTGTCAATGTTAGTTCTAAAACAGGTAGTGGTACTATAAATAAAAAAGAATACTTTTTTTCTCAAATTTTTTTCCATTATAATTGCACTAAATTTAAATTTCTGGTGCAAAGCATTGCAAAGTTATTAAGTTATGACTAGTTATATGAAAACAAGTCTTTATTAGGATATTTATTGTATTTCAAATTATTGAGAATTTTCTGTTATGTGACACAAAAAAAAACAAATTAAAATTTTAAATGATTTTTAAACATTTATGGTAAAACAAAACAGACATAAAAAACATTATCAGAAAAAAAAATAGCTATGGGGAAAAGAGGAAGGCGGATTACGGTAAACTAAGAGTTAATAAGGAGTTAAATAAGAACATATTTTAATTCAATTTACTTGTAAGGTTGCTTTTACTGATGTCATATGCAGTTCAAAGGTCATCTTTATTATCTACATATTAATGAAAGAGTAAACACAATATAACAATTTTTACACTGTATTTACCTAATTACAATTGCATACTATGTGCAAGTGTCATTTTACACAGAAGAGACTGCACTTTGACAGCCACTCCTGCTATGTGATACATTGCAAGTCCCGGCTGTTACTTTGACAGTCGGGAATTGTCAGTAATAGAGGCGGGAAGTGGCAGCAGAGAGGAGAAGCATTGCATAGGAGTAAAGCAAGAGAAACTTTGTTGACAGTTTTACATAAACTGATTTTTGAAAGATTCCTTTTTTTTTTTTTTATTACTAAGATTTGCAACCAAACACTGTCTCAAATGATATATACTAAGATTACTGCTGCTGGAAAGGAGACTGGCCACACATATACCTCTTCAGGATTATGTTGCAGCTCCCAGACTTTGCTTGGTCCCAGTACATGAAAAAAACAGAACCTTATAAGTAAATAATGTCCAAAATGTGTTAATGTTTCAACATTGATGTCCAGTTGTAGATAAATCCTGTTTGCTAAGTAAACTTCCAATCCAGCAGATAACGATGTGGACCCATTTTTAGGCCACAGCTTAGAATGAGCTAAATGGCGGCCAATGACATCACATGACCTATTACAAGTTGCTGATGTTAATGTATCACATGATCTAATCCATCCAAATCTACATGAACCAACTCTGGCAGATCAGCAAATGAATGCTAGTGTGGGTATAATACCATCAAAAGGTTGCAGTATGACTTTTATCCTCTCATACTGTATTATAAGCATTAAAAACCAGATTCAGAATGGTTTCTATGGGAAGTAGTTCTCCCAGAAACATTTCAGTTTGAGCTATGCAAGTATGTCTTATGATCACCGCTAGTATTAAATTGTATTAAATATTATATCATGTAAAGAAATAACTAAGCATCACTTCTGGAGATAGTTTCAACAAACAACCAGAGGGCTAAGACATTCCCTGATCTTGGAAAGTTCAGTAGTGCAATCTTCTGCCTGCTTCTTTCTGAGGTAATATAAGGCTTTGCCATGTCTGTTCTATATTTAGTATAATTAAGTGTCCATAAAAGGTAGCAAGCGGAATGCTATAAAAACTAAACTACTTCCTGTTTGCAAAACAAATATAGCCCAGGTCCTACTGGTGACAAGTGACAAGATTCCCACGACTGCTCTGCTTAATGCTGTATACATGTCTGCACTAGAAAAACATGGGGACTTTTGGCACATTCAGGGAGGGCATAAAGTAAATAGTTGATAGTAAAACTTTGTCTGTAAGATATTATTAACAGGTTTATTCATTAGAAATGGATTCCAGGAAAATAGCCAAATACACAAGTGCAGAAGGAGCTTGACTCAGCCGATCCAACATCTGGATCGGCTGAGCCGAACCTCCGGCAGGCTACTCGCTGCTGTTCGGCCTATTCTCATAGGGGCCGAACAGCAGTGAGTGAATAGCCGAATCGGCATTCCTCTGTAGTACCTCTGTAGTACCGAGCAGAATAGAAAACCAGTAAAAAAAGTTTAAAAAAATAGAAAACGATTGGGCGGAGCTAGCAGTGACAGCTCCGCCCAACTGTTTTCTATTGGCCGGGAC